ATAAAATGAGTCAGAGCCTCTGTTATTTAAACTGCCCGTGGATTTTCTCTTGACATTTTTCTTTGCTTTTCCAAAACCTGAGTTAAAGTTGGCTGTTCCAGTCCACACTGCTGACATTTTGTTTAGTCTAGCTACAGCAGCCTCTAGCCTCTTTTTTTTATCTGGAGCTGCCAGTCTGACTCGTCTAACCCTGTGCCTGTTTAGCATGGGATGTCCCCCTAGTGGCCAATCTAAAAAACTACAACAAAAATGACAAGCCACCCTCTGATTAATGAAATAAGTTAGTATCGGTTCATGGTATCTGTTAACTTTTACGAGTATGAGTACACACACATTTTACAGTATCGGCCCCGATACCTGATACCAGTATCGGTATCGGTGCATCCCTACCACCAAGCTCTCTCCCCCAAATATAAGAACAAAATCAGCATTAGGTTAGAGTGGGTTAATTAAATAAGTAGAATTGATGTTATTTGATTATTCTTATTTTCCCTTTTTGCTTTGTTCCTGTCAAACTGCTTTAACAAGATCTGCAAATAAAGTGTAAACTGTGGACATTCACTTGTTAACTCTTTGTGAAACATTAGAGGCATAAATCTGAGTATTAATCTTTATTCCTCCAAATAGCCCTGATTGGTTTCTCTAGCCTTTTTTAAGCAATTTCTTCCCTTGGAGTCTGCAGTCCAGGTTTCTTAAACAAGTGTTAACAAGTGACACGATCAAGAGGGGAGCTGAAATGACAAGTGTGACTGATTAGATTTGACCTGCGTGATTACTCAGGTTTCTTCACACCAAAGCAGCCAGGCTGGGCAATCAGAATCAGAATGACAAGACATTATTAATCCCTGTGGAGATTATATGGGTTAAAGTTGCTCCAGTACAGTAACATTAACAAAAACAGATTACACTATTTAGCAATACAACATGTTAAGATATAAGGAATAGGACAATATTTACAAATCACCAAATAATAAAGGTACCCAAAGATGTGACAGATGTGATTATAAATAAATATCAAGAAAATAGACAGGAACATTACAGAGTAGAAAAGAGTGTGTGTCAAAATGGTCTAACTATTGCAGTGTTTACAGTGTGTTAGATGGAGGAGTTTTACAGGGAGATGGACACAGGAATGATTTCCTGTGTCGTTCAGTGGTGCTTTTTGGTAATCTCAGTCTCTCACTGAAC